GTTTACACTCCAGGCTGAAGGCACCACAGGAGTTTGAGAGGAAGGATTTGCATTAACAGGGTGTTTTTTGTTTTTTTTTTTTTAAACAGGGAACACCAAATTTTCTGCAGCTGAAAACAAATACATTATTGACTAGCTCATTAAAGGATAAATCATTAAAATGAACATATGTGTATCACACATCAACTCTTACTTGACTGTAGGTTTTCAGAGGCTCTGAGTAACATGTCTAAGTCAGCCCTGAAGATTTCCTTGGGTTGCTGGGTTCTACACTCCTTCCACTTTCCATCTACTTGTACTAAGAGCAAATCTGAAGACTTCTTTAGTGTAGAAGGAAAACAAGAATCACCCTATTAGCCCCCAAACTTTGAATCACCTGTTAACAACAGCAAAAATCTTAGCAGAATCCTCCAATGAAAGACAATTTAAAAAAAAAAAAAGGCTTAGAAAAAAAGTACATTTATGACACTTTTAATTTTAAAAGAATGCCGTGATCTTGTTTTTCAAGCAGTGTTAGACATACTGCTTGGATCTGCCAATGCCCCCTCACTTGATTCCAGGGGGGATGCTGACCCTGGGGACCTGCGAGGAGCCTCCCGATCTAGCCATCGTCACACACACCACTGCCACACTGCCCTTCCAGACAGCACCTCTTTATTAACCTTCATGGCTCCTCACTGCTCAGGCACTCAAGGCTCTCAACAATCTTGCCTCGGCCTACCTTATCTCCAATTAGGTAGGACACAGAATAGGCGCAAGAGTTACAAAAAATAAAAATGTGGAAGATACATCCCATTGTTTTTTACTATGAGTTTTCAACTTTATTTTTGACACCGAAGTCCTTACCCTATCTGGAATTATTTTTGTATATAAGGCGCCGGTCCACCGTCATCTTCCTCCATGTGGATAATCTTTTTCCAGCCTCCCTGATTCCATGGTCCCTGCTTTAGCCACTGGCTAATACACCACGCCCATCACACAGCAATGTCTGTGCACACGTATCTCTGTTCTGAGCTTTCTATTTCATGTCATGACCAATTTCTTGATTCCTCCATACTTGTCTAACTACTTTAGCAATTTAATAAATCCTGATTTCTTGCAAGGTAAGTCTCCCTGTTTTTCTTCTCCAGAAGTACTTCAGCTACTCTTTGGCCTTTAATTTTCCCATTAGCTTTATTAATATCCATGAAGAACCATGTGGGTATTCTGCTTGGAATTACATTGACTCTATGGTACATTTTAGGAAGAATTAACCATCTTCCCAATATTAATTCTTTCTCTATATCAGGGCTTGGCAAACTATGGCTTTCCATCTGTTTTTGTAAATAAAGTTTTATTAGAACACAGCCACAGCCATTTATTTACATCTTGTCTGTGGCTGCTTCTGTGATACAATGGCAGAGCCAAATATTAATAGTAGTGGCTGACACCACATGGCCCACAGAGCCTAAAATATTTAATATATGGTCCTTTAGAAGAAAAGCTTGCTGACCCCTGCTCTATGGTATATTTCTCCATGAATTTGTGTTCTTACATTTCTTCCAATGAGGTTTTATAATTGTCTCTATCCTGTACTGCATATATTTTTGTTAAATTTATTCCTTGAAATTTGAGATGTTTTTGATATTCTTGTGACTATTATCTTAATTTCCTAGTTGTTTCTGGTTGTATAGAAATGCAATAGACTTTTATTATCATTCTTCTATTTACCCATCTTGCTAAACTCTCTTATTATTGATAACTTACAGATTTTTTAATGTATGCAATCATATCATCTGTAAATAATGACAACTTTATTTACTCCTTTTTAATCTTTCTGCTTCTACTTTGTTCTTGCCTTATAGTACTGATTAGAACTCCTAATGCAACATTGAACAGAAGGGTGCTGAATGTCATGTGTCTGATTTCAAAGGAAATGATTCCAATGTTGTCTATTTAGGATCACATTTGCTATAGGTTACTCTTCATCAAGTTGAGAAGTTCCTGTCTCTTTCTAACTTAGAATGAGTATTGACTTTTATTAATATTTTCTTACATTTCCTGAGTTGATCAAATGTTTTTCCTCCTTAATCTGTTAAAGTGATTAATTATATTAACATTTTTCTAAGATTAAAAACATCCTTACACATTTCAACATGGTCAAAATGTATTATATCTTTTTAATCCAGTGTTGGATTCTATTTGCTAATATTTTAGTCAGGATTCTTGCACCTACATTCATAAATGAAACTGGCCTGTAATTTTCCTTTTTAATAATGTCTTTTGGCCGGGCGTGGTGGCTCACGCTTGTAATCCTAGCACTCTGGGAGGCCGAGGCGGGTGGATTGCTCAAGGTCAGGAGTTCGAGACCAGCCTGAGCAAGAGCGAGAGCCTGTCTCTACTAAAAATAGAAAGAAATTATCTGGACAACTAAAAATATATTTAGGAAAAATTAGCCGGGCATGGTCGCGCATGCCTGTAGTCCCAGCTACTTGGGAGGCTGAGGCAGGAGGATTGCTTGAGCCCAGGAGTTTGAGGTTGCTGTGAGCTAGGCTGACGCCACAGCACTCTAGCCAGGGCAACAGAGCCAGACTCTGTCTCAAAAAAAAAAAAAAAAATAATAATAATAATGTCTTTGTCTAGTTTTGGTATTAGGGATGTTGGTAATATTAGATGAATTGTGGAGTATTCTCACTCTAGTGTCTGGAAGGGTTTATATAAAATTTAGATAATCCATTCTTTGAAAGTTTGGTGGAACTTGCCTACAAAACATCTAAACCTTATAGTTTCTTTGTGGATAGATTTCTAATCACTGCTTCCATTTTTCTAAGATTTATAGAATTTTCTATCTTTTTTTCTTTCCAAACATCAGTTCTAATATGCTATAGTTTCTTAGATATATCTTGTGAGCATGTAGTTTTGATAGTATTCAATTATCTTTTAAATCTCTTATCTGTAGTTCTGTCCCTCATTATGTTTATAATGCTCTTTGTCTCTTCTCTTCATTGATTTTTGTCAGAGCTTTGTCTATTTTTTTTTAGTTTTCAAAGAACTTCTTTTATTGAGCTTCTCTCTACACAATGGAGATTAGACAACAGTCAGAATAAACTGAAGTAACAAGCAATTGATGGATGAATCTTAGCATTATGATATTAACTAGAAAAATTAAGTCCCATCATTTTTATAATTATTGATATCTAGAATTTCATATCATGACAAACTGGAAATAAATCAACAAAAAAACCCAAAGATGAAAAGTTCTGTTTATATACTTGTAAAACTGCAATTCAGCTTTGAAAGTCTTTGACCAGTAAGAGTCAAAGACTGTGATGCTTCTCCATGATATTAAAGTTGGTCAAAGTCAACCAAGAATTTGAAGTCATTGTTATTGTTTAGTTAAAAGACGCAAGAGAGTAAAAATGACAGCTATTGTCATTGAGGTTACAAACATAAGAGTAGCTATTTCAGCTTGTAACTCAATCTTCCATTTTGTAGGAAGAGCTGCTGTGGCCCCCTGTCATGTAGGCTCTTGTCCACGGGCCCTTCACTGTCTGGGGCCCATCTGGACCTTCACTAATGTAGGGTCCTGTCCCTGCTGGGTCTCTCACCCCTGAGGGCTGAAGCTCCATTATCTGCTTCCAAAACAGTTTAAGCACCACCTCCTCCATGAAATCTCTCCTGATCTCCTCAGGAAGTGATTTCTCTTGGGACCAGGTGTGTCTGGCTCATCTGCTTTACCAAGACATAACTGTGTCTAATTGTCCTTGTATCCACTGTAGGGTCAAACGTACAGTATCTAATTATCCTAATATTCACTGTTGTGTCAAACAGAAGGCCTACAACTTAACTCCACACTGAACAAACATTTACTGAGGTTCTATCGTGTGTGACGGTATCTTTCTATCAGGTGGAATATAACACAGATGTGTAACATGTTATTATATTTAAACTTTATTTAAAAATTATTGGTGTCAGTTTGATTCTTGAAATTCATTAAGTTTCTGAGTTCCATCTGGGATCAGCAGTGCCAGTCAGCTAAATAATTCAAACTTTGCCTAGAGAACCATGTAACATATCAACAATAACTTTGGGCTAGAAAGAACAGTTTATATTGTAGACAAGATTTTTTATTATTTTCAGGAAGTATCTAATCTATTTCAGATTCTTATCCAAAGGGGTTGAAAGAAAATAATGTTTTGGCATTTGTAATATTTCAGCTGTATTTGTTATTTTAGCTATATTTGTTACTACATACGGACCTGAACATACACTCCTATACCAGAATATAAATTCTAATCTTGAGAGAATAAATCGATTTCATATATATGCAGATTCTCGAAAATTTTAGTAACATTTAGGTGGCAGTTCCTTAAAAAAGCACCCTATTTTTAAATCAGTGATTTTATCTTACTTTCTTTGTATAGCTATTTGTAGAGTGAAAGGCCAGGGGGAAGCCAATAAGTGAATTATAATCTTTCTTGAAGGTAAGAATGAAAGTGAAAATTTAGGAGCACTAAAATTAGCAATGTATTCACAATTGATGTGGTTAGTGAATATTAAAGAGCTACCCATAAAAAATCCAAACAAAATGTATTATTTAGCTAAAAGTTATACTGTATCTATTTGCCAGGGTTTATGCTGAGACAGAGAAAAATGCCAAGGAGAAATGACCACCAAGTCCCTCTTCCCCTGTGGCCACGCCCACTCCACACCACGCGCACTCCCTGCAGCCACCACTACCACCCCGCTGCCTTGCTCCCTTCTTGCCAGATGGCCAGTGTCCCCCAAAGGTGCAGCTATGGGCCTGAGGGAGTAGGGCAGCACTATTTTAGAAATATTCTTATTATTTAAAAAAAGGCCTGTAATAGTGGGGAAAAGACGTGTTCCAAGTTCTAGGAAAAGGATCTAAACACTTGTAAGCAAACAGAGGAGTAAGTTGGGTACCTTCTACACAGCAAGCTTTAAAAAGGATGCACTCTGTGTAAGCCCCTCAGAGATGATGGAGACACTGAGATCTGTACCTGCTTCTCAGCTTGCTTCAGGAGCTTCTGGAACCTCTCGTCCTCCAGCACACCTGGTGGAAGGTCAGTCTCTCCCTGAGCTTTCAGTTCCTCCAGCTTTTGCCGCAAGCCCCTCAGGGCCTGCAGCTCATCGTTGAGGCGACTCTGCCTGGTCAGAGATGCCTGAAGATCCAGTTCTAAGTCTAGAGATGTACGCACTGGGCATTCTTGTGCTGTTCTTCTAAGGACTGGTTGGCAAACAGTCTGGATAGTTAGAAAGAAAACAACGACAAAACACCATTTTAATGTGAGTAGTGATTATTCTCTCCCTCCTTCCTGGCACAGGATGGGATTGTACTTCCTTGCTGCGTGGAAGTGAAGGCGTAAGTGGCCGAGTGACTTGACTGGCAGGGATGCACACCACACCTCCAGGCAGTAGGCTGTCAGAGCCAGTGTGAGAGGTACACATTTCTGTCCCCTGCTAGAGGGACAGCAAAAATCCAGAGGGAGGCTCCAGCAGCTTGGGTCCTGAGTGAGAGCAGCACGGAGCCTGGCACCCAGCCAACCTGAAAGGAACAAGTGGCCAAGCAAGAAATAAACCTTTATTGTGTTAAAGCAGAGATTTTTTAAGTTGTTATCACACTATAGCCTAGCTTAGCCTGACCAATTTACTGTGTGGAGCTTGCCCTATGTGAAAAATAAATACATTATAAGGTATTTCCATTTCCTCCGTTTCAGGGCATAAAACTCTATCCCCACAGCTTGCCACCTTTGTGACCATTTCCATGAGTGTTGGCCGGAATGCAGCTGGTCACTGGGGCTGAGATTCTGACCCCCTGCCCCAATCGGTACACTTACACTCCAGCTCCTTCCTTGATTTCCCATGGTGTGCTATCGGCTCTCACCACTGAATCATCACTGCTCTTCCCAGGGCCAATCTTATCCATTTATCAAGCAATAATTATTGAACATGCATGAATAATGTCTGCTGGGGCTGTAGGCAAAACATTAGGAAGAGAAGACACAATCTCCAGCCTTGAGGACTTTGACTGCAGAATGGCATGAGCCATAAGCAACAGCAAGCTGAGTTAGCACACAAGTGTACAGGAAGTTTAGCAGATCATTCAGTGCTGGGGCACGCTCACTTGTGGAAGAGCATTTAAATTAGGCTAAGAGTGCACTAGCCGAAGGGAACAAGGAGGTATTTTTTGCCTAGACTGTTGGCAGTGGGAATGTAAGATAAGAGGTCGCTAATAAGAACTTTTACTATTTGATACAAGAGAGGAGAGACACTTGACAAGTACTCTGGTTTGAAGATCTGTGTAAATAGTAGTGCTCATGACAGACGGAAGGCAGAAGGCTTGTCTGTCCCTCTTCTGATTTCAGCGCTCTAGCTCAAGCTGGAATCGCTCTACTGCCTCCTCCTATTCCAGCACCTACTGCACGCTCACTGGAAGTCTGGGTGCTAGGCTTCTGTAATGTTCTTATTATTAGGTTCCTTTTACTCAACTGCTGCCCTCTCTACAAACGCATTACATAGTAAGAATCATCTAGACATACATTCTCTTTGACTGTATTACTTGTTTCTCAGAATCGGAAATCTGTCCTGGTTGTCATGTACATGTAGGACTCTAAGTGCAGTGGTCTGCTGGTAAATGATTAACAACTGGCTTTCTAGGGGAAAAAAAGAAGCACTGATTTGTAGGGTTTGCCAATTTCATTGGTGTAAATACTCCCACCATAATCTTTTTCAAGCTATCACTGTGATGTCACCAAAGTGGGAAGAGACATGCACAGTTGGCTCTTATGAGCCAGTATGAAGAGGGCCCCGCATATCACTGCTAATGGGCACCCCTTTCCCTCCTCACTCACATGCCTGGCACTGTGCTTTTCCAGTAGGCAAATCTCTTACTGGTCTCAGCAGATGCTTTTGTTCTCTTACATCCCTACATCTTTTTCATGTTGCAATTCCTAATTCAGAACACCATTCCCCATTCATCCCTGTCAAACCATATGTCTACTTTAAAAATCATTTAAAACCATCTCCTACTCATGCTTCAGGACTCAACTTTGTCTGCTTCCAGTAGTTCTGATAACTGGGTTTATCAGTAACTCAACTGTTTTTCACCTCCACTCAATTCATAAATACTTCTGGTTAAAATTTCTCTGAAGAGTGCAAGCATCCTCTGAAAGTATGTGCTGATTAAGAAGGCAGGACACTTAGGAAGCAGTTGAGAAGAATTTCCATTCAAGATGATGGAAATTTAGGTGCTTGGTAACCTCAAAGATCTACATCTCAGAATTTCCTCAAAATACTGAAAGCTAAATAAATGCCAGCACATCGCCTTTAGACAGAAAGGAACATGCTTTTGTTTCTTTCGAGTAACTGGGGAGTTAACCCAGGGGAGCCGAATCTTGCCTAATCAGGCACCTAGTGCTCTGCATGTGGCGGCAGGAGACCAGAGCGGCCTTCCGGTCTTTGTGCCTGACCTTCCTGTCCACAGTGCTGAAGCTCTGGCCAAACCACACACACCTCATCCTTGTGTGTTTTCCTGCTCCCACGTCACTTCCTGCCACCTACCCACAGCACCTAGTATGTATCACCCCCACCCTGCGACACGCTACCATTTTCTTTTGCAATTTTATGCATCAATGCACAGACCTCCCTACTGAAACTTTTTGACTCTCCCACCCAGATGAGCTCATCCCCTCTCCCACCTGGCTCAGTTTAGCAGCCTTGCACCCTGCACTCGAGTCCCTCCTCTAGACTGTGGACACCCGAGGGTGGTGACCTCACCACTGACCGGCCTCTGCACATGCAAGGCTCTGTCCTTACCAAACCACACATCTTAAGCCAAAATGATCATAGTAAACAAATCACTTTTCTTTATTCATTTCAAGTATTTCAGCTGTTGGTAAGTAAACAGCAATTTTTCAATGACTTGAACAGTCCAACCTTTTAATTTATTTAAATATTCTCTCGGACTTGCCCTTAAAGCTCATCCAGAGACCTGTGACCTCCAGGAAGATGCCACATTAATTCTGAGCTTCTAAAAATACCTGCGTAAGCAAGTTAAAAAAGCTGTGTGTTCTTTACCGGAAAGTGTGCTCCTTCAGGAAAGGTACCAGGTTTTACACACTTCCCACAATTGCTCAGGAGCTATTCACAGTGTGGGGCCACATGAGCCGTCGTTAGAAATGTGTCCAATCCTCTGTCTGACACACTCGTGGGCTGAGCAGGCCCCCGCTGCACACACTGCAAACTAAATTTCCAGCCTTAACCAGCACGGGTTCCAGGCCAGTGATGAACGCACGCTCTCAGCTCTCATCCCTCTCTACCCGCACAGCTGCCGTGACATCTGCATCTCTGTAATCCCGGGGGCGTCTCTCAGCAGCCCGAGCACACAGCACTGACACTAACACTTCCGGGATCTGTGCTTCGCAGCTCACAATTCTGCACTGGCCCAGGACAGCGGGCTGTGGCTGAGGGAATACATACCCTTTTGACTCTCAAACTGCGCCGTTCAGTGGAGTTCCTCACAAACAGTGACTTTTTAGCCAGGGTCGAACTGTCACTGTCACTCCGATTTAACTGGCAAAAAAACATTAAAAAAAAAAAAATCACCACGTAAGAACATAGTGCAAGTAGAACTTTGGAACTGAGAAGTTTACCAAATAAAGCAGGTAGTGATAATACAAGTTTATTTCTTTAAAGAAAACCCTCCCAAACAAGGTTTTTTTTTCCCTGTTCTATGCTTTTCTTAAATAACTTCATTTTCTTAAATAATTTAAACAACTGCATTTGGGTGGCTGTAATTAAAAAGTCATAT